GCACACACACACACACACACACACACACACTGTGAGCGGTGTGTGCGAGTTAATCAATGTCGTGGATGTGAAGCGCTGACCTTTTCTAGTCTAACCACCTGCTGCTGCAGGAAAAATGAGTGTGTGTCACAGTGTGTGTTTGTGTGTTTGTACCGTCTCTCTCTCTGCAGGGTGTACGAGCTCCTGAAGAAGCCCAGCAGCTCATCCTCGATGGCGGCATCGAAGCTCACGTTCAGTCGGTAAACTCTCATTGGCTTCATCTCACGGTGCAGCACCACGACGTACATCTGATTGGCCGGGTAGGGGAAGTGGCGGTGGATGCGCATGGCTCCGCCCCCCGGCCTGTTGGCAGGACGGCCACCGGCGCCACTCTCTGCTGTGACGGACACCCGGTCCACCTGCAAGGAAGGAAGAACAGGAACTACAATGATGAACTGTTAATTTTTACATTTAAAAATAGTAAACTGGAAAAATATCAAAGAAATACGTTAATTTAAACAATCAGTGTGTAGGATTTAGGGGCATCTAGTGGTGTAGTTGCAGATTGCAACTCTGTCACTTCACCCTTTCCTTCCAAGCATGAAGGAGAGTGTTTGGTTTGTTCCTTCTGTAGAACCATGGCGGTTCAACATGGTGCTTATTTTCAGGTGATAATACACTAATGAAAACATTAACATTAATTATATTCCATTTCTGCCAATAGATCTGCTGAAATGTTACATACTGGACCAACCCGCAAACAACAACAGTAATGTGCCAACAAGGGCAAGGAAGCAGAAGATTTCAAGGCTTTGCAAATGTTTAATGAGGAAAAGAATGCATTCAGGTCACCACTTTTTGGTAACACTTGCGTGTGCTGCTTACTCACCGAAAATAACAAACGCACCCTTGCAAACTGCTGTTCAGTAATGGCTGCACACACTTGTTGCTGCTGATATTCATGTAATTTCAGACTCTAAATTCCCTTCGGAGGAAATTAATCATTGTCACCAATTTCTGTTTTGCTGAGCTTAGCGTTGTTCCCCTGGGGAGGGACAAGGTCAGAGCCTTGTTGCCAAATATCAACTCGGGACAAATTCTATAGTCACGTAATATTAGCTGACTAAATTACTTTATTGATCCCCATTAGAGATATTTAGTCGTCAAACTGCAACGACAAGCAAAGCATTGCATTTAGTGTCTCAGCAGGTCTTGAAGGTAGAGGGGGTGAACGTGTTTTTAATTGCAGTCGCTCCAGCTCCACTGTGAACAGCGCCCTCTGTTGTTCAGCTCAGTCAGCGAAGTCACTTAACAACCAAAACATTGCATGACGGAGTGACGCGCTGCTCTTGAAATTTGCAGATTTGCAGCAGTTTCAGTGCCTTTACAGAAAGCCGTTGCTAAGCAACACCTGATTCACTGCCAGCTGTGGTTCCGAATGCTGGACCAGTCGCCATGGTGATGTGACAGGGACCACATTGAAGGTAGCTCGGAAAAGTATATCTGACAGTTTAAATGAAGCTAGAAAGAAAGAAAGAAGAAAATAAGAGAACAAAAAGTCATCCATATTTAATTCTGAGGCTGCAGAGTCAAAGTGACCACATGATGATGAAACGCCACCGAAAGTCTGTGACTGAGGACACTGAATGAAGAGCACTTCACACATTAAACGCCGCAAACCATCACCGGTGTCATCCTGACTCATTAGACCTGAGCTCATGCTGAAAATGGTGGGGATTCTCTGGTAATTAAATAAAATGTCACCAAACTCACTGCATTAAAGAAAATCATCAAGGTAAAAGTAGTCCCACCCAATCAGGTGCAACACAGCTGACAGAAAGTGAGGGATGTGTTAGCCACGGAAGGAAACTGAAATGTAAAGTAGAATTACCTTCAATCCATTCACACTCTTTAGGCTCGGTTCTACCACAATCAGTTCAGTGGACTGGTTGATTCTCCGATTGTAGCAAACTATATCCACGCAGAGATTCAACTTTGATCTTAATCAATTGCAAACAGTCTTGACAGTATTGATCTTCAAGGAAACGGAGAAAGCCAGAGAGTCCAGAATAGAGAAAGTTATCATATTCGTTTGATCGCACCAATCCATTTTATATTACCTTGTTTTCCCGGAGAATAAACTACTCCGGAAAAGAGAGGTGGCTTGAATTAACTCTTAATTTATAGTGTGGTTTGTAGGGTTGGGTGAGTACTCGGATGAAACAAGCACCTGCTGGCAAAGTAAAAAACAAAAATAATGAAATTTGCAGAAATCAAGCTGAAGTTTTGGGCAAATCAGTGGAACTACCCTCGGAGATAAGCAGCGGTGCATGATGGGAACGTGCCTGGCAACAATGGGGACTTTCCGGTCTCCATCAGCAATCCTCAGCCAATCAAACCCTGAGAGTGTGCGTCTGTATCTGTTTGTGTGAGTTTGCTCTTTGATGAATGAACTGATCGATATGAACAGAGAGGCTGCTGACACAGAGAGGAAACATTGGGGATTAAAAGGATGTTTTTCAGGGGATTCTGGTGAGTCAGCGAACGCAGCGCCACACTTCATGATGCCTTCAAACGTCCCTCTCAACCAAAATGTCTTTTAATTGCATAATTTGTTTGTCGATTACTTTGATTTCTCAGCTGAACTCAAGACCTTTTATCGCCCTAAGCTCGTGCCTGTTTGAATATCTTTATTAATGATGTCCTTTTTTAATTAAATCTTCCCGGTCAGTCATGTGCCTCTGGGGTTGACCTTCAGAGCCACTTGATGTTGTGAGAAGTTCATTAGTTCATTGACATAAACTGACAACAATCATTGTTCAGGGAGAAGGGAATCAGTCTAAGAACTGATGATATGTTTGGCTCAGCAGGAATTGTTGAGGATTTGTAGTTTATGTAATAAAACATGCACATGTAAGACAAAAATTATGCTTTAAGCACTTCACTACTTTGGTTTTGTTGGCTGCTGAATGTATTTTGTACTTGTGACATTTCTTTGGCTGTGAGAATAAAGCCCTCCTTGCAGGAGTATTTTTTTTTGTCCCTTTCTCAACCAATGGGTTTTATTTTTATCCACATTTGTGTTTTTGGCCTTTTCACACCCTAGAAATTTTTCTTTTAATAATGCATTGACTCTGAGGGTACCTTAGGAGACCTGCCTGGCACCCAACAACACCTCTTAATTCACAGTGCACTCGCACACAAACAGAAAAGGGAGCTGCAGGGTTTTTAATTGGCCTCTGTCCAAATTAGACAGATTCATCCCTCTCACACATTAGCCGAGATGACCGGCCTGAAAAATCACATTGCTCAGGCGTTTCTCTGAGGCTTTCTCTCACCACGCACTCGTCTCGAAAATTCGGCTGAAACAGCAACTTTGACGGTTAATTAGCCTCGTTAAGGAAATCTCTGAGGCCAAATCTGGAAATAAACATTCTTTGTTAGAGAGCGGGTTTGTTTTCCAACACAGAGAGCAGACCTGCAGATGCAAACAAGGAGCTTTGTTTGTAAAGAATCATCAGGAAAGTTATCAATGGTATCAAACTGCATACAACTACCAGCACTGTGGTACCCCTGTGAGCAACAAACTACAGCTACATCAACGCTACACCTTCTGAAGAACTGTGATTCCAGAAACAGGCACTGAAAGTTCAGGGTTTGGTAGATGGAGTCACATCTGAGCGTCATCTGAAAACATTTATTTTCTACACATAAAGTCACCATCCTTTTTCAATAGAGAGAATACAGAGCTGTCAAACAAACTTATTTCACAGGCTTAAAGTTTCTGTTTTCCTCTCAGGAGTTTCTTCTGTCCTGTCAAGTTTATAGATACAGTTTTCAGTTTTGTTGCTAAAATATTATCGATATTTGCTGCAGTGACGTTATTTTGTGCATTGAAACATTTAAAATTACTGAAGGCAGTTCCTTGAATGGTTAAAGAAAATTGTTTAAGAAAACGCTCATATCAATACACACAAAGAAATCACCTAATTCCAACATAATTTAAACGGCAATATATCCAACAGGGACAAGCAGATGTGGACTGAAATGTTCATGCGGGTTCAGGTCTCTAAAAAGGACAAAGTTATTTGTTCGGGTGGTTGGTGGGTGGACCATTTACATACGGGTTTGGATGCACTCAGAGCTGATCTGCACAAAACCACTAAATAAGTAACTCAAGACATCTAGAAAACTTTTCAACCAAGTTCAGCTCAGTTTAGACCTCTAGGGTTAGGGTTAGTAGTGTTTTCAGAAATCCACTTTGCTGACACCCTGACCTTTCAAGTAGCGCAGCCATGAAGCCAAATTTCCCTCATGTACACAAGAAATTAAAATAAAATATGGTGATATCCATAAAATTTAGTGAGCACATTCATGCCTGCTAAGGGATGAGTCATTTGGATTTTAAGGGATCAAAGGGGCTCTTCCTGGTAAGGCTGGTAAGAAGAGCTCGATCACAGCAGCATTTATAACAGTGAGATTTCAGACTGAACTCAATTGATTTCAAAAGGAATCTCCATGATTGAGAGATTTGCTAACAAAAACAATAAATGTATGTGCTGCTTTCATGTAAAGCTCAACTTTGGTGACCTTTGACAAGAACTCTTGCTGTTGTCCAATTGCAAACTTGACAGCGATGACAGTGCCGACTAGAGACTCAAAAACTTGCATCTCACCACTCAATTTGACATTAATGCTGACTCTGCCAATTGACAAGAAACACCAATGGAGATTTCTGGAGAAGGCAAAAACGGCCGTGCTTGCAATTGTCTTTTCATTGCATCATCTCGGAAAAACAAAGGGCAGATTCTCAAGATCACGGGATACTTACGATAAACTTAAAAATGTGTGTTTCAGCCTTTAAGATTGTTGTCATGACTGTCTGGAAGGATTCATAACTGAACTGAATAGAGTTCCTTACAGAATTTACATCTGAGAGTTTATTTAAGTCATTAATATCCCGGTTTAGTGACTGAATGTATCAGAAGAAGAAGAATTTATTCCTGCAATGTCCAGATCTTAGCTCATGTTGGTCTGTATGAAAATGAATTAATTAACTTGCAAGTTGCATCTCATCCAACGCTACATCTATAATGCACCAGATATGCGTGTTGTAATGGCACTCCTGATCTCTGATAAACATCTGTAGTAACAGGAGGAAACCACCCTTTGTTTTCTCGTGATAACAGCATCAAAACAATAATTGTAAGCATGTTCTCCATTTCTTTCACCTTTGTATCAATTTTACCTCAAATGAAACTAGTATTCAGTACCAATGGTAGCCCCTGCATGACCTGCAAGTAGTCGAAAGGTCACCAAACTCCCAAGACCAACTATTTATCTACAGTATGTAGCTGAATCTTCCAACTTCTGTCGTTAAGCGCAAACTGTTTGCCAAATTTTGGGTGTCACAGATATCACTGAGCGTACATGTTCGTAATGATTCATGTTTACAAAACTCTTAGACACAGATTTCTGCCCATGCAGGCCAGCGTACCTCAAGTCGGTCAGTGTGCAGCACGATGAATCGGGTGGCGTTGATGCACTCCAGCTCGATGCTAACCTCTCCGGAGAAGGTAAAGTTGTCCATGTAGACGGCGAGCCGCAGGTCATAATGTCGCGGTCTCACCGAACCTGGAAGCCGCGAATTCCTCCATGGCTGGACCGTCTCCTCATCCCCCCTTTCCCCCGTCCTCTCCCCTCTGCTCCCGTTTAACTTTGCTGATCCTCCACTGCCTCGTGAACCCGACTCCCCTGTTGGTCCATCACGATCCCGTCCGCCGCACTCCTCGAAGCGGACGCTGAGCACCACAGCCACTGCCGTGACTATGATGAGGGTGAGGATGGACAGGGCGAAACCCAGCACAAGCCGCTTGTGCACTGTTATGTGGCGCTCGGTGGTTCGAGGCCGGACCACCACTGACTCTGCCCACTGGTCCGAGAGGCCACGGCCATTCCGCATGGCGCCCGGGCTGCTGTCGTTCAGTCCCATTTAGCTAAACGTGTCACTCTAACAGCAAAGAAATGTCCTCGATGTTCAGAGCCAGAAACAAGTTCTCATTCAGAAAAACATTCATTTATGCTCGAGGCAGATTCCAGCTGGTTCAGAGACGATTTAACGTGAAGAAAGAGATGTCCTTGTGTTTTGATCGTCCCAAAGATTCCAGTTCTCAGTCTGTCAAGCCTCCAGCCACTGATGCTGAAACTCCAGCAGTTATATTTCTGAAAAGCTGAACTCTGACCTCGACTGCTGCTAGATCACTATGAACGTCCTTCAGCTCTGAGTCGGAGGTAGAAAATCAACACCGCAGCACGTCTTACATTTCAGGCAACAAAACTGACAAACCAGAAAGGATGAGATGGTCATGTGCGTTTTGGTTTTGCGGTGAGGAGAAAAAAATCAATGCTGCATGGCTCGATTTCAAGTTCTAGAGGAGGTTGAGGAGGAGGAGGAGGAGGAGGGGGGGGAGGAGGTATGCTGTTGAGGATGTGGCTATACAGTGAGCGTACCATCCATAGGCTTTCACTGGGAATCAACTGTGTAAGATAAACTCTAAACCACCACAGTTAGAGGTGTTAGACTGGAAATAAAGCCTTGTTAAGACCCTATACAATGGGAATCAATGAAGTCACAGTTTAGCTCACAGACTATGCAAATAAAAATCACTCTTGGATGATGGAGATCCTCATTTTAGACCTTCAGAAATGGTCACTCAATCGTATGCATCCAAGACAGAGATCCTAAAGCAAAGCTTAAACTAACTCAGGAGATTTAAAGCAGAAGGTTCTGTCCCCAGGTTGCTGTAAAGTTAATTTCTTCAGAGTTAAAGCTCTTTCGGACCTGCAGTGAAGCATAAATAAACCCCTATTGGACTATTATGGGATTATTATTATGATACAGTGGGAAATAAAAAACACATCACAGAACATTAAGGTCAGTGTTAGGAGCCACAGATGCACTGGAAGTATCTCGAATTTTGATTACATTTCAGTTATAAACGCGGGACACATGAACAGCCAATATTTTTAATCAATTTTTTTTTATTACAATAAACATTCAAATTTGGATTTTTGTCAAGAAATTCACACAATATGTGACAAGGACTGATTAAGCTCAGCTTTTAGTCGCTTTTATGTGGAAAAGTCACCACATTTTTATAATTTTCCCAACACAGACATTTATTGTAATAATTTTTTCCAAATCCTGTTTTAAGACTATTTTAGGAGATTTTAAAAGATATTTTTCTGGTTAATTTCTTTACATTTACCTTAAAGCTGGAAAACGGAGGCACGGGCTCTCAGTCTGACAGAGTTACAGAACAGTGTTTTACTGCCGTTTAAATGCTTTTAGTTTAGTTTAATGAAAAGGTAATAACTCCCTCACTGCGGTCTCTGTCTAGGTCTCTCTCCCTCTTTCTCTCTTGAGGGGGGTTAAGTGGATAATTTACGGCCAGCATGTGGGTTTATTCCACCGTGGAGGAGATCATTCACTCGGTATTCCACTGGGTCTAAACGATCCCAGCTGCACTGGAGGCTGATGGATGGAAAACGGATTTAAAATGATTGATACCCGAGAATGAATGTGGGGAGGGGGGGGGCAGAAATTTGTAGAAGGAGGCGGGTTTTTTTTATCGGTTAAAATCCATCAATCAGTCCATCCCCGTTAATGAGAGCACCTAATGATGAAGGGTGTCCGATCATTAACTCCTCCGGTAACTTCTCTTCTCTCGCCCCCCCGCTGGGAAGCGGCGACTCCCGTGTCCGTTTCTACCGGTGGTCGGTCCCCTCGGGTGGTGATCCGTTATTGGAGACTAAATTCAGTCCCCCCCCTTTTCCCCCCGTTAAAACCGGCAGCTTTCACCTGCTTTTATACCTTCTTCTTCTCTACCGTCGGTGAGTGAACCGCCCGGGACTGTCCGGGGATTCGTTTCACTACCGACACAAATCCGTTAAGATGTCAGTTTTAAAAACGCAGAGAAAAATCCGCTCTGGAGTTGGCTGCTAAATGACAGAAATCCGTTATTGATCCGTTTAACCACCGGGAATCCGTTACAGCAAACATCTGGGGGCACCCCTTAACGTCAGAGATTAAAAACCACACCGGAGATCAGTTTCAGTACCGGGGACCTCTGTGGAGAGCGAGACCGGGAGTGATCCGGCAAATGCACAATAAATCCTGTCAGAAAACTGCACCGGATCCGTTTCCATGGAGTCCAAAGTGGAAATCAACCGTGTCAAGGCGGATTATCCCGGGTTAACGCCGGGCACGAGCCCCTCCGGTGCTCCGTTATTAAACCGGATCCTCCTTAACTTTTTTAGCCCACAGAGAGCTGCTCCTCCTGCTGCTGCTGCTGCTGCTCCTCTCTCCGGTGAGGAGGAGGAGGAGGAGGATGGTGGTGGTGCTGATGATGATGATGATGCACGGTGATGAAGAAGATGATTATGATGAAGCTCTCCTGTTAGCATCCCTCCATCCACACCGAGGAGGAGGAGGAAGAAGAGGAGGGAGGAGGATGTTGGTGGTGGTGAGGAAGAAGAGTCTCGTGCAGCCCGGTGAGTGAGTGAGTGAGTGAGGGAGAGAGTAAGGCTCACGGTGCTTCTCTAACCGGAGAGGCACGCGCTGACAGAGAGAGAGAGAGAGAGAGAGAGAGACTGGTTGAATGAAAGCTACACCCACCCAACTCTATTCAAATCTACTCTTTTCTATTCTCTCTGGATGTATTTCAAAGCAGACAAAGGAAAATGAATGATGAAAGAGTGAGTCTCTCTCTCTCTCTCTCTCTCTCTCTCACACACTCTCTCACACACACACACACACA